TGCATTATTGATATTTGAAGACGCCTACTTTTTTGTTCTTTTACTGTTTCCAGTTAAAAGTTTGCCATAAAATTACCTAAAAATTCTTTGCATTATATAAATAAAGAGATGTATTTTCTTGTTCGTTTCCCTTTTGCAAACATCTTATTTTGAAAGGTTAAAACATATGGCTTAACTTGAAGTACATAAGATCATTTTGTATTATTGTGCAAAAGGTTTTGGAAAATGCAGGTATTCTGAAGTTGACAATGGTTTAAACATGTAAGCTTGTGTGGCCATGGGAAACTAAAATCCTCAAATTCAAAGAAAATTTCAGCCATTAAAAGATGACCCAAGGAGGTTATCATTGATCAAGAAGTTGGTCATGGGTACTGACGGGTTTCAAGAAAGAAATAAGTCAAGGTACTGTTAAGGCGAGAGATATGGAATTGAGATTGTCAACTGGGGTAAACTGATCAAACGTTCTGTGCCCAAGATGAAGCCGAGTTCCATCGAGATCAAAAGGAGATAGAGTTCCTACAAAGAAGAAAACACATTGAATTGCATAATTGCATACATTTTAGGCATGAGTAGGATCATGGCATTCATAATCGCATGATGGCTTAAATATCTACAGATTTCCCAGGGATAGTTGAAGATTGAAGATATGAAAGCATCGAGATGAAGATAACTGGTTTGACCTTTGAAGCAAATCATCTATAAGCCTTCACGAAAGAGTAGTGAAGCAAATTCGTTTGTTGAAGATTGAGTCCTATACTCTCTGAAGGAATAGGGAGCGGACAAGTTCATTGAAGATTGAGTCCTATACTCTCTGAATAAATAGGGAGCGGACAAGTTCGTTGAAGATTGAGTCCTATACTCTCTGAATGAATAGGGAGCGGACAAATTCATTGAAGATTGAGTCCTATACTCTCTGAATGAATAGGGAGCGGACAAGTTCGTTGAAGATTGAGTCCTATACTCTCTGAATGAATAGGGAGCGGACAAGTTCATTGAAGATTGAGTCCTATACTCTCTGAAGGAATAGGGAGCGGACAAGTTCGTTGAAGATTGAGTTCTATACTCTCTGAAGGAATAGAGAGCGGACCCGTTTTGTTGAAAATTGTTCGAGTTCTATACTTTCTGAAGGAATAGAGAGCGAACCCATTTTGTTGAAGATTGTTCGGGTTCTATACTCCCTGAACGGATAGGGAGCGAACCCGTTTTGTTGAAGATTGTTAGAGTTCTATACTCCCTGAACGGATAGGGAGCGAACCCGTTTTATGAAAATTGTTCAAGTCTTATACTCTCTGAATGAATAGAAAGCAGACACATTTTATGAAGATTGTTCGAGTCTTATACTTCCTGAAGGAATACGGAGCAGACTCGTCATTTGAAGATATTTCAAGTCTCACTTATCCCGACGTAATATTGAGTGGTTTAATATTTTGAAGTTCTTATGACCGGACAAATTCGATCATCTTTTGATCTTTGCTCTAGTCTCGTTACACGACAATGAGCAAAGAGGGGCAGCTGTAGATGCTCGTTTCTGTCTGAGACTAAATCAGAACAGGGGCCCGAATCAGAGCAAACCCATTTGGTCAGAGCCCAAGGCACAATTAACCCAGCAAGTGCAGACTCAAGGGTGGAGACAACACCAAAAGCCTCAGCAGTTCCTTTCCATCCAACAGATGCCAGACAAGCCCCATAACCGTGCAACCGTTTGGAGATACATGCAACAAATAAGGGACGTGGGGATATCCATATGGGATAACCACTCATCATTAGCAAAAATAAAGAGGGGAAAAACTATCAAGCATCAGGGGACAATAAGAATTAAGGGAAATAAGGAGAAAAAGGAAACAGGCAGAAAGAAAATGAAGGGATTATCAGCCATCAAAAAATTACAGAGAAAAAATAATCACAGATTATAGGGAGATCGATAATTCATTACCAGTACGAGAGGGTCGAGAGACCATTTTTCATTTTTATTTTCTTTTTTTACGCGGTAGAGCAGGAACAAAAACAGTGTGTAAGATATTTCTTGGCCACATTCAAAGATCAATTGGTGTAACAAAGGATTCGGTTTACTCTTCTGAAAAGCAGTAGAATCAATACAAGCAGGTTATCTTCTTTATGCTTTATAAATATTGAGCATGCATATTTATCGTTTTTATTCGAAGCAAATAGAAATATTAAGTTACTCTCGATTTACCTGTTATGCTTCGGGTCTAGATTGAAATTTGTTTTAGGAAAAGTTCGACTGGTAATAGTTTCATCGCACATCAGTGTTGGTCGAGAGCGTTGTAAGGGCGCTAGGGATTAAAAAAATAGAAAGCAAGGAAGGCTTCTCCTCCATCTTTTTTCCCCCTGGAAAATTCATAGCAAAGAGATACACAACAAAAACTTCTCAAAATGTTTTCTTTCTTTTGCATTTCAAACAACTATATTTTCTTTATTTCGAAACCGGAATAAAATGGAAAAAGAGACAACCCATGTGATATTCTCATCATTTTCAGAACAAAAAGAATTGCAACGTTTTTTTCTTTGCAACCATCTCTTTGATTTGAACCAAAGTATAGGAAAAGATGAGAGTAGTTTACCTTTTGTTAGTAATCTCGCTAACAGGGTCTTGTTGTTGGGGCTAGGGAATTGAACAGTCGATCCTTTTTAGGGGTAGAAGTTCTTGCATGTTGGCCTTGGTTTCATTCTTTGGTTGAAACAGAGAAGAGAAAGGTTAGGAGAGTAGAACAAGGCGTTTTATGTTGATTAAGGTGTTGTTTGGTCTCTTTAGCCATCGCGGTGGCCAATCGGTGTTCATGGTGGCGCAAGTGGAAGCCTTTAGGGCTCTTGATCGGAGAAGAAGAGGAGGGTGAAGAGAGTAGAGTGAACGGCTGAGTAGCTTAGGTCAAGTTTAGGTTTTAATTAGGTGTTACATTAGGCGTTTGGTTAAACTAGTGTGTAGTCACTGAAATTTTCAGGTAAAATTATCTTTTGGTCATTATAGGTCTAATGCTTATTTTCAATTTAGTCACTTGTGGGGCTGTTTTTAAGTTCGGGGTTCCTTTTGTCCAAATATTATTATTTTCCAGTTTAGTTTCCCTGTTTATTATTTCGGTATATTTTGCTCACGCTCCTCCTATTTAGTTATTTTTACGTTTTAATCCCCTGTTTGTTAAAAGACAAATTATAACCTTTGTGCCTGGAATGTTATTATTTTGTATCATAACTCAATGTTTGTACAGTTTGCTACTTTAGTATCATATTTACATTCCCATTTTAATTTGGTCACATGACTTTAAGTTCTTTTAAATTTTTTATCATTTTTACAATTGTATGTTGTTACGTTATTTAGGTTTCAACCTTAAATTAGTTTTCTTTACGTTTTAATTCGCTTAAGTTTTTTTTATGCCTATGTATGTATAGTTAATTAAGGTTCGTTTCGAATGTATGCTTCATATGGCTGAATGATGATGATATGTATGCATGTACACATAGGTTGTTCATTAATTAGATAAGCATTTTATGTATATATTAATTTTTGTATGATACCCTCACATGCATAACTCGACCATATGACATAATTGGATTAAGGGTAATATACTTTTAATTTAAAATTGTTGAAGTGGGCAGTCATAACTGATTTGAGGTCCGCTTTTAATGATTTTAAATTAAAAGTGTATCCCGAAAGTGAAACCAAAAAAATTGATTCGTCACCTAAAATTTGGGAACGAGAGAAAAAGAAATGTTCGTTTATTTAAATATATCGAGAAAAGGTTGTTATATCTTTAAGATCTGGTCTCGATATTTGTAAATAATCGAACATTCTTTATCTTTCTAAAATGACTTGGTAATTTTAATTTAATTTGTTTGAGTGTTTTTGAATGTTTTAAATTTACATTTTTACTTTATGGGATCAAGAATCAAAATAAACTCGAATTTATAAAGTTCATTGCAAAGACGTTAATTAATCGACAAGGTACCAATTTAGGGCGTTGTGGAGGTGCTAATCCTTCCCTACACGTAACCGACTCCCGAACTCGGATTTTGGTAACGCAGACTTCAATTTGTTGTTTTAATTAAAATTAATTTTTATTTAAAATGACATCATTTTTGGGTGCCCAATCACACCCTAATCAAAGATTGGTGGCGACTCTTTGAATTGTATTTTTTCGATCGTAAAGGAAAACTAAAATTTTTTCGAAACGAGAGGTCTTTTAAATCACATTTGGTTTTAAATTAAAAAGAGATAATTAAGAATTAATGTGATTTTTAAAATCTCACCGTTTTTCACCTTTTGAAAAATATCGTTTCGACAAATAATAATAATATACAAGCAAAGGCCATTTTGTCTTTTTTGTTCTTCCCTCATAAGAATGAATCATTTCTTCGAACTTGTTTGACAGAAGGGAGGCAAGATCTGCATGCATACTATAATTTTAGCGGGAAAGCATGCGTCGGATACATTTTTTTTAAGGTGGCATATTTCTTGAAGATTTAATTGTCCCCTAACTGAAATACAGCTAAAATAATTTTCTATAATGCAACCCCGGTATGATCTGAGTCAACCATATTGATCTTTTTTAAGGTTTGATATGAGACAGTAGGAATCTCGACATAGAAGAAGATAACCCAGGGGCCTCTGAGTTTTGTCAAGAGATCATTCTGAAGACTTATTTCTATCTTTTATTTTGATTGAGTGAGTGATGTCCTTATCTGGTTTAAAACTTTCAATCAAATTGATCAGAACAAACATCGTCCATGGAACTAGAAATATTTAATTAATGGTATAAAATGTCATATGTTTGAAATTCAGTCAGGTTTTCGGGGTAACTTGATGTTTAACAATGAATGGATCCTAATCCTCATACGTGATATTGAAAGTGGGGAAAAGAGAAAACAAATGATAGAAAAAACAATTGTAATATCAAAACTGTATTTCATTGATTATATGTATATTTGATATATGTACAGGAATGGTGTTGACATGATTTTCTAAGATGGTATTGATATGATTTTCTTCAGGTAAATGCCTCTTGGCTAAGGATGTTGAGAACAGAAACTCTAGTTTTGATCAAGAGCCGCAGCAAGCACTCCACTCCATCTTCAAGATCTTGAATGCTTGACTCCAATTTCTGCAACTCAATTTGTGCATCATCACTGCTCATTTTTCCAGATTTTCCGATCTTGTTACCAATGACAGTGCACAAAACAGCATCCACTTTCTCGAATTCGTTGGTTTCCGTTGCTTCTCCCTCACATGTTACACGTTTGGAGCTCATCCACTTAGACACCAAAGACCAGTTGGTAGATTTTGATTCCATCTTTGACCCAAAGATATAAGAATAGAGAGATTCAAACACAGTGAATGTTACTCTTTCAACCTCTCTCAACATGCTAAATGTGGCTTCGCCGTCGTTTTCTAGCTGAGCAAAGCCACATTTACAAGCTTTCAAAGACTTACGTATTAACTTCTTTGCTTTCTTCCTTGAAGCAAAGTATTCCTTAGTTTCATTTGTGAAACCAGCTTCAGTGCCTCTTCTTCTTCTCAAAATCGATTGAAGTTGTTGCGTATCTTCCTTGGCCTGCAATAGAACATCCTTGGCCACACCACATACATCCAAGAGCTTGAGAGACTCATTCAACAGCTCGTTAACCTGCTTGTCATTGCATCGTTGGGCTAATGATTGTTGTATTACAGGAAGTTGAAGTAAATCATCAACCAACTCATACAGATCTCTAAGGCCACTTAGATTTCGGGTCAATGGCGGGGATGAAGATGAGGCAGATTCATTGGACTTTAGCCTACATAGATACTCATCTATTTGAGTAACAAGTGGATGAGGTCTAGAAGGCAAGCTGTTTGAACGAGCATGAAAATTGGATTTTTGGTTCAAAGGGGAAGAAGCCATCTTTTTTCGTCTTAGATCAACAGGCTAAAGGCTTAGATGTACAATTTGATCCACCGTCCCCTTCAACCCTCAAGCACTGATTATATATATTGGTAATAGGGGAGACAAAAGGAATCTCATCTGCAACCTCCATGACTCCTAACATGATCCTCATCCGAATCTCAATAATTTTGCTGCCTATGTTTGCCCGATGTCTCCCACCCCACCCCAAGAAATCTGTAAGCAATTTATTTATATATGCATTATGAGCCAGCACATTTTTTCAGAGAAACGAAGCATTAATTTTAGTGCACGAGTGGCACTGTGATCCTTGTCTCCTCTCATATGCTCTTCAACATATATTTGCGGTGGGGGACAAGATTCCAGTGATGCTCGTGCTGATTTCAATAATTTTCTAATTAAAAAAGGTAACTATAGGTACATACAGGGTTGTATACGAGAAATAAGCGGCCAAATTGCATGTACCGATGTACGCAGGTAGGTGAGACAGGACTGCAATGCCGGTCATGCACACTTGAAATCCGAAAATAAACAACGATGAAATCTCACCGACTAATTGACACATTGTTGCAGAACTTTTGAAAACAAATGCTTCTTACCATGGACATAAAATCAAGGGACGGCATTTAATGCTTTCTGTCCCGTCTTGTTCTTGCCACTGCAGCAGCACTCGGAAAATTCAAAGAAAAAAAACAATGTTAACTAGGGAGGCCAAGCGAGTTGGAGTCGGTCGCTGGAAACAAATTGACAAAAAATGTTCGACAATATTATACATCTTTTTCAAAATAAAAGCAACATATTACAACGTACCGCCTTTTTTGATTGTCTGTCAAGGCTAAAATACATCTGTTGGAATGATTTAACCAGTAGTGATGTCAGGTTTCACTGCAATGCAAGAAGGCTTGAAGAGCTCGAGTCCATCTAAAGACTAAAAGCATTCTGAGAGCAAATAAAAGCATTCGGATATGTTACCGTTCAGGCTCATCCAAGAAGAGAACAAAAATATTTCCCGATGCTTTTTTCACACGAGTTTGTTCGTTTGAATTTTAGGTGATAAATCAGACAAATATAATTGCTTTTGTAACAGATTGAGAATAGCTTCAGAAACTCCTTTGACCAGAAAGATTTGTATTGCATATGGTTGAAATGGTGGAGCCTCCTTATTAAGCATAGCATATAATTGCAAACATGATGTGCAGGTATACACCATCACAAATGAGGGGAAAATACACATTCTTTGCTACTTCATACAATTTCAATTTGAAATTTGATTTTCAAACTCAAATTTTTACACAAACTTTTTGCAGCCTCAACGTGAAAATGGTACAGAAATGTAGAATGAAACAACACAATATTTTGTTCTCACGAACCTTTCCCGACTCGTTGCTTCTTATCTTCAAGTCCGGTAGCTTCATTCAACATGTCTGCGGCATCTTTATGCATGTCTAGTTTTGCAAGAGCTACTGATTGCATATGGAAGGCGGTCGCCCACTCTGGATTCACAATCTGAGCCTGCATTGCATCTGCAAGGGCAGCATCTGGTTGATCACAAAATAGATAGCACAGGCTGCGTCGAGCAAAAACAGTCGGGGAGACCATGGTTCCAACATCTATGAACTGCACAGAAAGAAAAGGTATCCATAAGGCTTCCATCCCAACCCAAGATGGTTAAATACCGGACTTGGTTTTAACATTTGCCTCACTACAGCAGGAGTAAAAAAATTCAGATGCTGAAGAGCTAACCTAAAAGTTATAACCTCAATTACGTTAGAGGTCATTCCGGTCAAGAATAGCTGCTTGATAATATCACAACTGATTCGTGGTAAACAAAAAATTTAAAATTTTCAACAGATTTATATCTGGCGGAGAAAGTTATAGTATGAAAATTGTACAAGATAAGAAAAGGAAAGATGACAGGCAAACGAACAAAAGATTCCATTTATACAACCCACTTTTCCTAGAATTATTGAATTGTCGAGCAAATAAATAAGCAATATGGCAATCATGGGCAAACTCTCAACCAAACAACATATAGTTCATGACAAGTTAAAGTTTTGATGTTATACCTGGGAGTAACAGTCAATGGCTGTTTTAAAATCTTTATCACGGAATGCATAGTCCCCACGCTTCCTAGCCTCAAGCATATCTCGCATCTGCTGGGTCCACTCTTGGAAAGATAACTGAAACAATCCATCCACAATTATATGAACTTCTTAGCACGAGAGTAAAGAAAATGGATTAAACGATTCGCTCAAATGAGTCATCACCTCATTTGTCCCTTCATCATCCTTGTAGTGATTCATCACCAGTATCTGATGGATCGCTGTAAGGTCAAGTCGTGAACATGCCTCACCCATTGGCGAAAGTGGACGCTGCGGAGTTGGTGGAGCTTCCACATATTTTGAGATTCCAAGCATAACATAAGATGGAACCTGAAAGCCAAGATATACAATAATCAGGATCTAAATTGAAACGCATGCTCCCCAGGACTTCAAAAGCACAGCCACAAGGTAATAACTAATAATTTTAATGTGATTAATTCCACATATTTTTTAGCTTGAGGATTGTTCGAGGTAATAATAAGCAAGTGAAGAAGATACAGAAGAACGTTAAGTATCTTGGACAACTCTGATACAGCACTCATCATTTTCTTTATCAGAAACCATACATGCAAAAGGTTTTCAAATGTTCACTAATGGCAATAGACGTAACCTACAGCTACAGGTAAGAAATCTTTGGCTCAACAATAAAGAAAGAATAAACTGTTACGAAATTGAATAGGTAAAGGCAGCAAAGTTCCTTACATCAGGTTTGGTTTGCAATGGAGCAAGTGTGGCAACAAGGTCCTTCACATTGGGCCGTTCCCTGGGTTCATATTGCAAACATTGAGAGGCAAGGCCAACGACCACAGTTGCCTCCTCCATAGAAAATTTTCCCTCTAGATGTGACTCCATGAGGAGCGTGATGTTTTTAGTCCGTATCATATCGAGTGCCTGCAAACATGCAAAACATCTAAAACCATAGTTTGTAACCTTTGAGATTAATGATGTCTCATAGTAGAACAGGTAAAGACATAAGCAGCTGTTTAATCAGGAAAAATATGTGAAACTGTTAAAGCATCATAGCTGTTAACCTCATGATGTCACAATTTGAATATCAAGTTCCCATTTTCAAGCATTGCAAGGAGCCATAACTGATTCCATGATGTGGAGAGTTTGAAATTGAAAAAGGAAAAGAAAAGTACACAATAATATTTATGGATCTTTCACCACAAATAGGAGTCGCTTAAATCCACTTACATGACTGGGAGGGATGTGCTTCCCACTAAGCAGATCGAGAATAACAGTGCCAAAGCTGTAAATAACGCTTTCTGGGGTGACTCTCCCTACAAGAAGCATAGTTTCGAGAAAATTCAATGAAGAGAACCATGCAATTTGAAAAGAAGTTTCCATGTAACTCAGTTCAATGCAACAACAGATCAGTTTAACATATTTCTCGAAATAATTTTCTACCTACATAGTAACAACCAGAATAACTCGACTCATCTATGGAAACACCGAAAGATAACCAATAAACCATTAACACTGGAATCCATTTTCATAAAAGCTTGCCTCTAATTCCATGTTTGTATGCTATAAAGAAACAAAGATCTCTAGAAGTTGCAATAGTAACTGTCGAAACTACAAGAAGTCTGTTAAAGTTGCAATTCTGACACCATTCATAAAGTTTGCTCAATCATCACAGAAGAACATCAGATTGAAACACAAAGGAAGATAAGTCTTTTACTGGGAAACATGCAAGAAGTACAGCAGACCAATCATGTGGAGTAACATTAGTATGGACCAAACTGAATTTCAGATATGAGTAACAGGGTAAATCCCTTTGAATTTGGACAAGCAGAAGAACAAAGAACAATTAATTTATGACAGTAAACACTAACCACCAGAAATAAATCAAATAGCAAAGGAATTACCATTTCTTAGATACTCTGGAGGTGTGTATGCAAGATTAGTGCTATAACTTTTCCCATCCCTGCTATTTTTCATCAAACCGAAACATGAAAGACGTGGATCACCATCCTACAAAATCCATCAAAAAGACATCACTTACAGCTCTGAGTGGTAGTTAATGCTAGAGTAAAGGAGCAAAAAAGTACATACATTATAAAAAAAACCTTATATTCAAGAGACCGATACCTCATCAAAAAGAACCCTGTAAGCATTTAAATCATGGTATAACGGATGGCCCTCGGTACTGCAATAATCTAAAGCTTCAGCGATGCAGGTAGCTACTCTTAAACGCATTGCCCACTCGATGGTTTGATTTTCCCCTGTATAGTGTGAAAAAAGACCCAAATTTAAGCTGTGATAAACAGAAATGTCCAGACATATTATCAAACTAAAAGCATTTAGCTAACAAAACTGTATATCAAACTTAGTAAGCAAATCAATCTGTAATTTATTATATACGATTCAGTAGGTATTAACTCAACAAATTATCAAAAATTTAAAACAAAAAATTCTTGGATAAACTGTTTGTGGCATGAGCTCGAGTTACATAAGGCATGTTGGAAACAATTAAAACAAGAACTAAAAATCAAGCAATTAAAACATGAGCAAGAAATTAGAAAAATGGAACAAGAACAAAAGAAAAAGAAAGGGTTCTTCAAGTTAAAAGAGAATGGAAAACTGACAATGGAACAAATGCTTAGAAAGTGTGTCATTAATCATGTACTCAGCAACAAGCAGCCTTTCATCTCCATCACAGCAATACCCTATCAAATTTGCAAGCCTTCTGTGTCTCAATTTCCCTACTCCACATGCTTCCTCCTAAAACAAATCCACAGAAAAAAACCCCCACTTCAAATATCTCACCAAATACCCAAAAGAAAAGAAAAGGCGATAAACCAAAAATAAAGGAAAATAGTAATACCACAAACTGTTTTGAATCAGGCCAAGCCGTCTTACTAAACTTCTTAACAGCGATCCATTTCCTGTTCTGCAAACGACCTTTATAAACAAGATTAGGAGCTTTTTCCCCACTTTCAGAAACTATGTTATCTGAACTGAAATTATCGGTGGCCGCTTTAAGTTCAGCAAAGGAGAACTCGGAGAAAGAAGGGACTCCATTAGCAACAACCGGGTCGGGCACAGCACCCGGACCTGCTTGGTTATGGTTCCGGGGCTCCGGTTGCTGTTGCTGCTGCTGCTGCCTCTGGTCTTTCTCTGGGTGGGTTTCTGCTAGAAAAGACGATTGACAACAACCCATAATTCAGCTTTGATTGAAAGCTTTCACTTTTTTGCTTTTGGGAACAGAATCACGAGATGAAAAGGAAAGGGTTATTGGTTTTGACACAAATGAGAATGGGTTTAGAACTTTGAAGGGATTTGGGTATCTGTCTTTGTTACCAGAGCTTCTTGTTTATGTTAAAGGTTTCTGCTTGTCTTCGCCGGAACTGATGCTCTCCGACCAAGTTTTTCCCTATTATGACAATTGTTTAACTCGTTGCTGTAACAAAACTAAAGTAGTCGATCATATCCAAATTTAAGACTGATGGTATGAATCAATCTTCTTTTGACAATTATTTCTGACTTATGTTGAGGTTTATTAGGCATTTTTGCCCATTAATAAACTATCAAATAAAGCATATAAATTTATAAATGGAGAGAAAATATAATAAAATTATAGTCTCAATAAAATAAAAATAAATTAATAAATTGTTTTCTTTAAAACTATTAAAGAACACAAAACCAATGACCATATAATGAAATATTAAAGAATTCAATCAAACAACTATTCAATGATATCTCTCTTAAACTTGTTCATAAAATTAGATTCAAACTATTCATTCACTATTTTTTTAGAAGACAGTAGTAGAACATTTTGGGTTGATGTATGTTCTACCCATCAATATGGGTTTTACATATTTAAAAGTACCATTAAATGGTTGAAACCAAATTAGCTTTAATGATGAAAGCATATATTCTCCTCCAATATATGGAGAAAGCATATATTCTCCGCCAATCTATGGCCAAATTTGTTTGCCGGCCACCAAATGACGACATGCCGGTGCCGGTGCCGGTGCCAACCGGATCATAGAACTGTGCATGTCAATTTCTTCAAGCAAGGGGAAGAAAAAGATTAGGCAACAAAGGGCAGCTTCTTTGCAAGACAAAATTCAATCATAAAATCCAAATTGCCAAAGTCAAGAGGAGGGATGGGCATGGGTCGGGTTTTTGATCCACCCGACCCGACCCGAGAACAAGAAGCCTTACACTCGAGATGCGATCCAACCCGAAATAATAAAAAAATTATTTTTATTCAATGAAAACAGTGACTTAATTAAAAAAATAATATATAGTAGAGTATTATTGTAATTATTCCTAAATATATAAGGTAAAATTATATTTTTTTTGGGTCGGGTCAAATATTTTTTACCCTAAATTTGAACTCAATTCAACATGAACCCTAATTTTTTTAAAAAAAATCTGACCCGCTTAAATCAAGTTAAAACATATCAAATTGAGGTCCTATGCCCTCCTTAGTCAAGAGCTTTTTACAGAATAATTAATACAAATTCAGGTGTCAAAACAAGGGTCTTTTAGCTACAGTATTTAAGTATACCTATCTCAAAGGAAGTGTCCAAAGTTCAAATATGTTGGGTTAAATTAACTTTTTAACGTTTATATAAATGATCATTTTACTTTTTATTTAATTTTATAATACTTTATTTCTTGATTAAAATAATTTTTATTACATAAAAAAATATTAATTGACCAATGATCAAATCATATTAATGTGATATTTTTATGTGTTCAATTGTAACTTGACATATATCATGTCATCAAAAATAATATATGACATGTGTCATATCATGAAAGTGATGATATAATATATGCCACGTCATCAATTAAACACATGCAAATATCACATTAATAACATATATTGATCATTAATCCATTAATGATTTTATCTAATAAAAATTATTTTAATAAAAAATTAAGACGTTAAAGATTAAATATTCAAAAAAATAGAATAGATGACAAAATGACCATTTATACAACATTAAGAATTAATTTTTATCCAAAAAAAAAGAATTAATTTTTATCATTATGTCATTCACACTATATATACACTAAAAGAGGTGTCAATGAATAGTATATATACACTAAAAGAGGTGTCAATGAACTTACTATTGGCATATTTCAGCTGTCAAGATGTAAAAACATAGAATCTGTACTCATAGATGCTGTTCTCGGTCAAGCTGGGGACAATTATTACAAAAACAAAACATGGCATCTAAGTGTAATATCTCATCAGATCAACCTGACCATGACAATTCAATAACCAGATATTCTACAATGCATGATAATACATTAAAAATGTTCTTTACAGGTAAATTGATGGAGAATTTGCAGTTTGCAACACACAAAACTGTCGTCTATAAAAAAAATTATTGTAATTTAATTCAAGATCGAAAAGAAAATTCCATTATAGTACAAAATTTGATTTTGTTGGTATTCCTGTGACTTGCATCAATCTGGAATCCTCACAACCACCTAAATTTAAAGCTCTTAATCATGCAAAACTGATGGAGAATCATATTACTCCGATGCTTTGGCTACTTTGGTTTGCAGAAACATGCCCCATTTTCTTCGATGAAAGAGGTGGTGCATGATTCCGAATACGAGAGTTGCAGTTCTCCTAGTAGGCACCACCGATAAGTTCTCACTTCTCAGTTGGCAAGGCGTAGCAACTTGTCCCTCCGGACCTCTCTTCACTTGTGCATAAGAAGCTTATATGAATCTATTGTAATCAGAGAGGCAGATGGTGAATCATTAACCACTTAAGCTTCATTTCTCAAACAGCAAGACTGCAATTGTAGCCACGATTCATTTTCATACAGCCCTATGAAACTCTCTCGCACTCTTGAGCAAACCTTTCTTTAACACGTTGCAAAAGCTCCTCGTAGGCTTTGGAGGACTCGGAACTGAATCTTTCCATCGCCTCGAAAATGCGTTGCAAGCAACCCTGCAAACTAATGTTGCTAGTGTCACTCTGATACACAGCTTGTCCAGCTACTGAGAGTCCGTTACCATCTCCAGAGACCATAATGATTATTTTATCCAATGCTTGGATCTCTTTATGCAACTTTTGATCCTCTCTATCCAAGTTCTTAGCCTTTCTCTCCAAATCCTTATTGGCCATCATTCTCCGATGCATTTCTGACTTATCTTGTTCCCAAAGTTGAAACATACTCATGGCAAAAATCCTCATGGAGTCGACCACCTCCCTTTCAGATATTCTATCCATTGATTGTGACCACTGATTACATATTACAAATATGGGGGGTGCACCTACCCTGCTAGGTGAGAAGGGAGCTACTCCATCATCGGTCACTTCGGGTTCATAGTAAAGACATTTCAGAAGCCAATTGTTCAAAGCCCTGACATAACCCTTCTGGGCACCTATCCAACTAGCGAACCTTACCGTCCAACTAATAAGTTCATGTTCGAGCTGCAAAGTGGCCTTAAGATGATCATCGCTGAGCTTTTTGCCAGATCCAATAGAACCTAAACTTTTGGCTTCTCTAATCACCTGACATTGACTACGATGGCATTCAAGCATGCGTTTCCACAATATGTTTAACCTGGAAAACGAAATTGCAAGAAAACAATTAAGGCACAGAAAAGATAAGTGTAAATGGCAAGTAAATATTGGCTTGTGGAGTGAAGAAAAATTGCAAATTCAGCACAATCAAGGAAATGAAAATCACTGGAAAAAAAATCAAGTTAGCAAAAGCAAATTTGACATCAATATTTACAGAAACTTGCTTCACTTCAGGGGCCTCATGAAAAACATTTATAAAACTCCCTCTTTAACAGCAATTAATTGGTATAAGGCCAATACGATCATTAAGTTTTCCCAGTTCGATTTGTGAACACGGTCTCATAAAAGTGTATTTGCACATGTAGATTGTACAAAAGTTTTGCGTACCTATTATATGATATATAACGATGGAGGGTGCATTTTGAAATACTGAGATGAACAGTCGCTTTGACACTCACTCAGTACCTTATTGTACCTATATTGTATGTTTAATAGAGCATAATAAAGCAGTCTCTACCCAAATTATATCTACAGTTCAATAGATATAATCTCAAGCACTATACTGGAAACTCAAATAATAATCTTCCAACACGGTAACTAGACAAATTAGGCCAAACACACCAATTATTGACATCCACCGCTCATCACCGTATACTTTTACAAGCTTCAACAGCTAGGACAAGATATTCCTAAAAGAATACTAATGCAAATTACTAAAATGCCAGAGCAATGTCATTATGCAACCAATAAAGATAGCAAAAGTATTCCAATTAAAAATGATAATTAAAGATATCAAATGACAATCAAAATGGCAAGGCGAAAAGTAAGATACAATTATGTCAGTTAATAACAAAACACTAGTAATGTACGTAGAGAATAAAGAATGAGATAGAAAAAAAAAGAGTTGAACAAGCAAAAATAATACCCTTCAATCAGTTCATTGAGCAGAGGCCATAGCTCCTCATCCCTTATCTTATTAATTGTCACAGATATCTTGTCAACAACTTGAATTGCAATTCTTATCTTTGTGGATAGGCTCCTGATCATATGTCGGGTTGAATCAATTTTGTTTGCTTCAGCACCCCTTTCATCTAGCCGTTTCAACTTATGGCATTTCCTGTCATAAGCCACCCGCATCTTCTCCTCGGCCTGCATTGCATCAAAAACTTCTAGCTCACGAAAATCATAAAGGCTATGAAACTAATAAAAGAGGAGGCATAAAGCTGCTCTTCATCCAGGGAATAATCAAGTCACAGTGCTCATAAAGTAATCCTAAAATGGCTGCAGGAATGACATAAGTTGAAACATAATCCATCATAAAGCTCAAAATTTAACACCATGAAACCTTATATATCTCGGAGCAGTGACTTTCAGAATATAAAACAAACTAAACTAAACAGAAATGGACAGCAACCAAGTGTAAAACCAATAATAATAGCCGTGAATCAAGTAGTTCGCACGGCATTTTGAGATAATCATGAATCTGATATTCGAAAGAGTAGATGCGTAAACGGCTGGGAAGTGGGTGGAAACAAATGCCAAGTGCAACAACAGGTAATACAGCATCAAGGCACAATATACCTTTACTTCATTGTAGAGTTTCTTTTCCCACATATACAACTTTTGCAAGGTAGAGGAAAGGTTTTTCTGTTTCCTGGCCAATTCTTCATTTAGTTCTAGAAAAGCTGGATCGGTATTGTCAGCCGGAGATGATGACTCATCAGTCCTAGAAGTAGATGGTTGGGATGATACTAATGATATTGAAGGAGTAACTACATGCAACATCTTGGAAACTGTTGCATGAAAATTCCAAAACCCAAAGTTAGAAAACTCAATCATGCTGTGCAAATCAAGAACCCATATCTATAGCAAAAATCAGAACTTTCCAATCCAGAAGAGAAAATAGATAAAAGCAAAAAAACACAAGAATCCTGTAAATGTAATGAAAATCATTACCATGTTTACGCTGATAAGGAAGTGTTCCCACCTCAAGCAACTTGGCGATTTCATTCCCTGACTCAGATGCTCGAACGAACTGAGCCTGTAACTCGTTAACCACCTCAAAAACATTCCTTGGACTTGGAGGACCTTTTGAACCTTTACCGCGGTCCTCGGCGGCGCGTTCATCACTCACAACTTTATTATCCACCACGTGAACCTCATATTCGACCCTATCATTTTCAACCCCAACACTAGGCCTGGTCTGATAAAGTGAAGCCTCTGGTTCTGTACTAACAACGTTTCTAGCTTCATTTTCAACTGGGGATTTTGAATATCCTCCGCTATCAACGAATTTCTGACCCCCGTGCACTTCTTTAACTACTTCATGTTGATAATTCTCATCTTCCAAATCAGGGATCCCTTCAGCTTCCCTCACCTCCCTCAAATCCCCACTCGGCGTGTACGGACGATAGTAGTTTTCATAACTCCCGAAAGGGTTCAAGAAATCCCAAGCTGAAGTTCTCCGCGGTGAAGGTGGAGGCGGCGGCGGTTTCTCTGTCGACGACGGTTGCAGTGAAGACTCATAACCAGTCCCCGAATAAGAAGAATAACTACTAAAACCACCGGAATTTTGGTAACCCGGATAAGGATATGAACTAGAACTAGGATTGTTATTAATATTACTTCCGTAAGAGTAAGGATAGGAAGAAGACGACGAAGAAGATTCACCCATATAAACTATCTCTGGATTCCTAGGCCTTTGTTCATAAACGATAGACGGCGTTGGTTGCTTCTTCATGAAATTCATATGCATAAACCCACCAGGGAAAGACCCAGTCTCAAAAGCACCATAATTGGGGTAATTTTGCTGCAAATACTCTCCATCGTCGTGCAAAGGAGAAGAATGATCGGAATGGTGCAAAGACCCGCCGGAGTCATCTTCATCTGAATCAGAATGGAAGTGAAGATGAGACCCGGAATTCGAATGGGAATGGCGGTGAGAAACAAAATCTTTCTTGGGTGAACTCAACCCGACTTTAACCGGATCCATCGCTTTACTTTTAAGCTTATTAGGAGACGGAGGAGAAGGAGGCAACGCCGCCCCCGGAGAAGCTCCAAAATCATGGTCGACGAAATTGTTCAAAGACTGCCCAAATAACTTCAAAGAAGCCGTATAAGCAACGTGAGCTTCAGCAAAAGCAAAACGTTGCTTAATCGCTTCGTTTAAAAATCTACACCTTTCCCGACAGAGAGCAACCGCCGGAAGATCATCTAACTTCGAACTAGAACATCCCATATCTCCCCAGAATAACAAAAACAAAAACAAAAAAAAGACCCAGCAAAGTATAGTAACTGTTTACATGAACGAAACAAATAACAGGATTACAGTGATTGTTTCTCGGGAAAATTTAGGGTATGAGAAAAAAAAGGAAGACAATTAGACAAAGACGGAATCTTTGCCCGCAGTGAGTATGTCGTCGGGTAATAGCAGAATGAAAAAGTAGGAAAGGAGAGAGAGAGAGAGAGAGAGTGGTACCTTTGTGTGCGTCGGTGTATATTGCTGGAGCGTATTAGTGTTGAATCATAATCAAATCAAACCTAACAAAATCTCCATATACCATTCACTACAACTTTAAAATACAACACATTTGCTTTCTCTTATTTTTTTTATTATTTCATTATGGGTTCAGTTTGGTAGCACACACAATTTGATTATTATAGAAATGGAATTGTTCTATTTTTGGGGGATGAGGAGCTTCGGGAATGGAGTTTAAGGGCAAGGAAATCGACAAGGAACTGTTTGGTTTCATAGAAACCTTGTATATTGGTGTTATCACTTTTATATTTTTTTATGCATTCTAAGAAAATCTTATATGATTATGTTTAAATCTTTTGTTTAATGAACCCATCAATTGGCATTGTTTAAAAAAAATTTAATGATTATATGATATTATTTTATGATGACACGCTAGTATTACTGTTAATTTTTAATGCTGGATAATCAAAATATATTAAAAAATAACATTAGATATGATTTTTAAATAAAAAAATAGTTGGATGACCAAAACCAAACAAATGTAATAATTGATATGCTAAATGTGTAGTTTACCCTATTATTATATAATGTTAGAATTGTAAGATCTAGTCCAGTCATTGTACCATTTGTTGAACTTCATATTTACATTAAGGCTAGATATAAAAATATGTGATTAAACTATGTTTCGAAAAATATTATAGTATTTAAAAATATCGCTAAAAATAAGTGTTTAATATTATTTCGTTACACTTTTAAATGCTTGACGTCAACCGTTGTTAAAACTCACTGTTAAGTGGTACGTGTCACGCTCAAGTAATTTTGGAAATTTTTATTTAAAATAAAAATATATAATTTAAAAACCTTAAATTTTTTTCAAATCTAAAAAAAACTTTTAAAACATCATTTTAATCGCTTTGTCACCGCCAATCGCCACCAAGACCATCAATAGGCCAAACACCCAACAATGTGTGGCTGACCAACCACCCAAGACCAAAACCCCATGCTTTCGCAACTGATCGAACACCTAAAAATGGTGTAATTGAACATTTTTGTTTTAGGGTTTTAAAACCATAAAAATTGCTTAGATCGATCGTGATAATCAATCGTTTGATCGGATGAGGTGGTCGATTGTTTTTCGTTTGGTCGGGCGTGGCAGGGGGAGGGAAGAGGGAGAAACGCATGACTATGTTGTTTTCTTTTTTAAAATTTGTAATATAAAATATTTTTTAAAATTCAAAAATACCATAACGTGACATGTGTCACTTAACGGGATTTTTTTAAGTGCAATTAACGTTTGGGCACCTAAAATAGTAACAGAGAAAATGTTATATATCTATTTTTATCAAAAAACTCTCGAGGCATTAAAATGTTTTTCGAGGCACATTTTAGGCACTTATTTTTTTATATTAAGCCTTACATTAATATCCTTATGTAGATATTAATCTTTTCTTTTACATAAGCGTGGAAGATCTAAGAGGGAAAAAAGGAAAATGAGAGAGGATAAGATAAAGGTGAAAAGAATATAGGGACTAAAATTATAATTTTGAAATATTGTGCATGTACTTTATGACAATAAGAATTGTATAAACTTTTTCACAGAAGATAAGATAAAGGAAAAAAAAGAAAAGAAAATATAGGCACCAAATCGCAATTCCGAAATTATTGATTGGCCCTTGAGACATTGTGCTTATACGTTATGGCAATCAGAATTTTATAATCTGGGCACAATAAAAGATGTGGCAAAAAATAGCCTTGTCAAGCTTTAGCTATTTGAGTAAGATTTATTTTATTATTTTTTAAATAGAAAACCTCTAGTTTTATTAAAAATAAAAAATATTCATAACTATAATAAAGATTTACAAATATAACTGGAAATGTAAACTAAATTATAATCAAGACATTTTTCTATAACTAGCTACATAGATCACACAATGACCAAATAAGGAAAATGTTAAAAAACTTAACTAAAATGCTCGAACAAAATAAAGATATGAATAAATCTAACTGCATCGGCAAACGAATCATAAAAGGGAATGAAGATACTGAAAGATCGTCGACAAATCGCAAATCAGAGTCAAGTGACGTGAGAAAACTATTCACGAACCTAAAACACATATCTCAATCAATTTGAGAGTCCATAGCAGGGAATATCAATATGATAACAAATAAGCGTCATCTTGATAAGTCGTGGCGATGTCAAATCAAACCCTGAGAAAAAAAATAAACGAAAATAACAACCAAACGACCTAAAACTACCAAAAAATGAGAAAAGCGTGCCACAAAGGTAGAGATAAACGTGTCACAAACAGGGATGGAGTCAGAACTAGATCTCAACAGAGGTCGAATCTTTTTAACATCTTTAAGTTATATATATAATTTTACATTTATTATTTGTTTATTTAAAAAAAAAAAGATAACATCAAATATGCATAGTTCTATATTTATATGAAATAAAAATTAAAAAGTAAAAATTAAATTAAAGTAAATAATAAAAAAACGATTTAAAAAATTACAAAAGACATAACTATCACATAATCACAATAAAATACGTCGTTCATTCAAATCTCGGAATGCATCCAAGAGCGATGTTGTACTAAAGCTCCTTGCAATATCTCTTTCAATGTTGATAAGCATGTAACTCTAAAAACTTTCATCATCCATTTTGTTGCGAAGTGTTAAGAAACGTGTATAATAGAAAATATACACAGTAAAGAAAATGCTTGCATTCATATCAGCTGGCACACTACATTTATAAGAGTGGTTTAGCTCACCACTAACCACCACTAACCATCTAACAAACTAACTGACTTTGCTAACAGACTAACCACCTCTACACGTATGTGCTGCATTGACAGCAGCCTAACATTCCTCCTGCTCTTCCTTTTCTCCTCTTTGACAACAATCTAACATTCCCTCTACTTTTCCTTCTTGATGAAAAGATGAACACTTGAACCGGAAGTGCCGATGCTTCCTCCCGTTCACTTGAATCGGAAGTGCCGATGCTTCCTTCCGTTCGATTTGAATCGGAAGTGCCGATGCTTCCCTCCGTTCGATTTGAATCGGAAGTGTCGATGCTTCCCTCCGTTCGACTTGAATCAGAAGTGCCGATGCTTCCCTCTGTTCGACTTGAATCGGAAGTGCTAATGCTTCCCTCTGTTCGACTTGAATCGATGCAGACTTTTGATGTGAATGAACATTCAACAAAAAAATTATAAAAAAAAACTATTCTATAACAACAATGTTTCGCAGCTTAACTACTAACAATTCTTCATCCTCCTTGCACGTAAACCTTCTGCTTCATATTGCTTGGAGCAAGGGCAGTGATCTCCTTGCTCATACGGTCTGCAATATCAGGGAACATAGTTGAACTACCACTAAGAACAATGTTACCATAGAGATCCTTCCTGATATCTATATCACACTTAATGATAGAGTTGTAGGTAGTTTCATGGATTCCAGTTGCTTCCATTCCTATGGAAGATGGCTGGAAGAGGACTTCAGGACACCGGAATCTCTCAGTTCCGATAGTAATGACTTGTCCATCAGTTTTGAGGGTATACTCAAAAGCACTGTTCATTAGCCCACCTTTGCATCCATAATCACATGAACCTTTCTCTTCTTGATCACACTCATGATCGCAGTCGACTAGCTGTTGTTCGCTGAGGCTCAAAAGTTTTTCGGTTGCCAAAAAGTTAGCACCTTCCAAGGCTCCTGTGTATATTTTCTATTATACACGTTTCTTAACACGAAGTATTGTCTTGATGATATTCATTGTAGAAAAAGCTCTTTCAGCACTTGCTATAGAAACTGGGAGAGTCAATAGAAGTTTTACCGTTGGGAATATATATGGATAAGTGTTCACTTTTCTAATATCCATCAAACACTGACTTAGGTCAGAGATTGTCAACAATTTTCTTAGACTTGAATTCTAAGATAACTCCACCTCATAATGACGCAATTTTGTTCGTAAATCATTTTTTTAACTTTCGTAAAATCCTCCGGATAAAATTTATTTTCAAGATTGCAAACGTCTTCAACCTTGAAAATTTTTCTCACCATTTATTGGCTCTAAAGCACAACCAAGAGTTAATAACTCTATCGACTTCTCAAATCTATTGTTTAACACTTGTAGTTAAACATCAACTGTAGCATAAACAATTTCTACTCAATAATGATGTTCAACTGTAAAATGATCTTGTTGGTAACGAGCACTACCTCCTCTTTCTCTATAAATAGAACTCATATATAGGATATCTATGTTGCGACTCTCACAAAATGAAGTAACTTCCATAAAAAGATTATTTCATCCATCATCTCTAAATTTCTGCAAAAGTATCTTTGAACTCTCAACAAGATGTAGTGAATTCAAAATATCATGAGATTTTTGTTGTAATGATTGATAAAGTGAATCAGTGATTTCTAATATTTTATTCATAAGATGTAAAATGAATACAAAATCAAAGGAAGTCAAAGTCTCTAAAGTTGTCGCCATTTCTCCACATTTAGAAGATGTACTTCCTTCATCAATGAGTTTATATAGAACAACACAAGTGACACTAAACATTTTTATCAAGATTAAAATTGATATCAAGTAAGAACCCCATCAAGTATCACCTGCCCTCTGCAAATTACTTGTTTAATTTAAACCAGTTCCAGTTTCAAGTTGTTAATCTTCAATTAAATGATTTATCTCGTCAGAATAAGCATTTTTTAGTTCATCGATGCACTTATAGGAGGAAAGAACAACATTGATAATAAAGGATAATTTGGGGAAAAATGATAAACATATATTACCTGTAACACCCCCAACCCGTACCTGACCCGGATACGAGTCCGAGATGTCACATTGACTTTTTAAAATGATGTTCTTACAAAATTACAAAATGTTTGAACTTATATTAATAAAATACGATCATATATTATTCAATTATATTTTTTATAACAAATTTGAAAAAAAAATACGTTTTCATGAACAATACTATACGGTATGAACAATACCATGAACAGTGCTACAGTGTACCGATGCACAAAAACATCAAATATAAATTGTGTATCGATGCACTGCTATAGTATATCGATGTACTACTACAGTACTACTACAATAACTTCGGCAAAACATGTATAAAACTCATAAAAATCTAA